GATCAATCCAATCCATACCATCTCATCCTATCTAAAAATGAGACCCACAAATGATAATTACAACTAAACGAGTGTGTAGAAATTCTGTTCCGTGTTCGGAAGGTGTCGCTTTTTAATATCAGCTCCGACCCCGACTATCGTGATTGAGGCTTTTCATGATTTTCCTCAGCCGGTCCCAAATTCTGTGATAGTATCTCAAATTAGGCTACAATCTCTTCCTTCCACATTATTCGTTATATAGTCTAAGAAGAATGGGCGTCGTGCGAGGCTCTTTGGTATAGGTCCAAAGGAAGAAGGGAACCTGGTAGACCACGCACAAGATGCAATTGATAGAAGCTAAACAGTCCATCGGCGTAATACTTGAATTGGGGAAGAATGAGAACACGTGGAAGAAGAAGAAGAAGATAATTTGATGTACTGACGGGGTTATTAAATAAAGGTAAAGTTGTCCCTGTGTTTAACTAATTAAGCACGATGCCATGAAGGCGTATGGACGAATTGATGTATAGATCCGCACTCTCTTGACCTTGGCACTATTATTAAATAAATAAATAAAAGTATACGCCATCGGGGTAGCTCTGCCAAAGTAGTGACTAGGCAACGGCTTGAAGGACCAGGGAATTGGGTTTCGATTGACAGCAACGGTTGGCAATTTTCACTTTGCCGCAACGTCCAAACCGATTCTGAGGTCCTGCCACCCTACGATACTACACCATGGGTTCGTCGGGTTTCTTCTCCGGGGTTAAAGCGGCCGTGTGTGTAAAGCTGGCGGCTAGCGCCGAGCTTAAGAATGTGCAAAACTTTACCTCCACTCCCCTGTACGTCTTACTAGCGTGATGCTCTATAAATTACAGGGGCAAATATTATGTTTTTGGACAATATCCATCGTATTGTCTTTATCTGAAAACCGTCCTGTTTATTTAAAAAAAGACAACGTTTCGGAGACTGGATTCTGTCTCTGTCTTCAGGTAAAACCTACTCTGTTGGGCCTAACCGATAGAGCTAGTCCATATCTCTTATAGAGTAGGTTTTACCTGACGACGGAGACAGAATCTAGTCTCCGAAACTTTTTAAAAAATAAACAGGACGGTTTTTAGATAAAGACAAGACGGTGGATAATGTTCGAAAACATAATATTTTTACTAATGTACCATCGTCACAAACTTTTATGTCTTAATTACACGGACGTTTCTTCTAGTAATCATGCCCTAACAGTCTTACAAGCCTATGAAGCAAACAGTTAATGTCTTTAGCCACATGTACTCCATGTTCATGTGAACAAAATAAAATTCTTTTCGCAGATTGATGCTGAATATAGAACTTGCCGTTGATACCAAACAACACAATGCAACTGAATTTATATACAGTGAGGAGATTCCCCATCGCTCTATAGCCGTGGGAAACGCGAAACAATCAAATCCATCACCAGAGATTGATTAATGTACATAGGCACGAATCTGTTTTAGGTGTCACATAAATAAAAATAAATTCACTTAGTAGGGGGTGGAGTCCAACTGGGTCCACTCGGCACGGCGGCCACTGATTGGCATATTGTACCTGCTCCGGGTGATTATGATGACGGTAAATTTGGTGGAATGAAGATTGGCAGGGTAAACCGAAGTACTCGGAGAAAACCCGCCCCAGCGCAACTCTGTCCACCGCAAATCCAACTTGACCAGACCCGGCATCGAAACCGGGCCGCCGCGGTGGGAAGCCAGCAACTTACAACTTGAGCTATGGCGCGGCCTGTCACATAAGTAAGTGAGAGCATAGTTTGTAACGGGCTCCGTGCTTGTTAACCTCTATAAGAATACAACGGGGAGTCCCATCAATTCTCATAGCGGCCTATGAGCTTTCGTACTGTTAATTTCCTTTGTTTTCTCTCATATTTATTTCCAATCCTGCCTGGGGCATATATTGACTCTGACCACAACTTACTGGTTGCCAAGTTCCGAACCAGGTTGAAGAAAATTATAAGATTTCAAAAGAGCAGACCCAGATGGGATTTGGATAAGTTATATGCTAAAAGACAATGAGTGCAGGAGACCCTATAAGAGAAACTCGGTGCAATTGAAGGTGAAAGCGGAAATGCTGAAGCGCAGTGGAACAATATAAAAGAATGCATGTTAGATACTATCAGTGATCTGGTAGGTAAAGTTGAGAAGATAGCAAGAAAACCATGGGTTACACAGGAGATGATGAGTAAAATGGAGGAGCGAAGGAAATGGAAGAATGTCAACAATGAAGAAGGCAGGAGGAAATACAGGAGACTGAGGAATGAATTGAAAAGAGCCACGGACAGGGCCAAAAAGGAATATCTTGAGAAGATATGTAATGAGATTATGGAATTTCAAAGAACAGGCCGTTATGATTTGATGTACATGAAGACAAAAGAACTAGGATGGAAAGAGAATCATGGGATTCAAAATGTTGGCATCGAAAGCTCGCAGGGGAATAGAATAGAAGATCAGAGGCAAGTGCTGAAAATTTGGGAAAATTATATTTCAGAACTATATGATCGACCTAATCGGCCAGAAACCTTAGAAGTTGAACCGGAAGAAGAAGTAGATACAGACGAGAAAGGACCATATATTTTACAAAGTGAGGTGGAAAAAGCTATCAAGGAAATGAGGAAGGGAAAGGCTACAGGAGATGATGATGTACCTGGAGATGTGCTCAAGTTACTGGGAGAAGGTGGTTTGAAAACACTGACAAAACTAATGAACACCATATATGAAAGTGGAGAGTGGCCCAAGGACTTTACAGAAGTTACAATGATTGCCTTAAAGAAAAAGACAAAAGCTACAAAATGCAGCGACCATCGCACAATAAGTCTTATTGCACATACAGCAAAGATAATAGCAAAGATACTTAAAAGAAGAATTGAAAGGAAAATAGAGGATGTACTTGGAGAAGATCAGTTTGGATTTAGAAGAGGAAAAGGAACCAGGGATGCAATTGGGATGATGAGAATTATAGCGGAACGAACTTTGGAGATAGATGAAGAACTGTGTGTTTGCTTCATAGACTGGCAGAAGGCATTTGACCGGGTAAACTGGACCAAATTAATGCAGATCCTGAAAGAAACAGGTATCGATTGGCATGAAAGAAGATTGATTAGCAAATTGTACATGGATCAGAAAGTTAGAGTACGACTGGACAGGGGGGAGACAGGAAGTGTGCAGATTGGAAGAGGAGTTCGACAAGGATGCTGTTTATCACCAATTCTGTTCAACTTGTACAGCGAATGCCTTACCAAGGAAGCTCTGGATGGGCTCGGTGACTTCAAAGTAGGAGGGCAAATTATTCAAACTGTGAAATATGCAGATGACCTTGTGTTAATGGCTAAGGAAGAAACTGTGCTACAGGGCATGATTGATAGACTAATTGAAATTGGAAGGTGCTATGGCATGGAAATGAATGTGGAGAAAACAAAAGTAATGAAAATTTCGAGACAACCAACCCCAGTCACAATAAAGATAGACCAAAAACAACTGGAGAATGTGAAATGTTTTAAATATTTGGGTAGCTTGTTAACAGATGATGGAAGGTGTACTTGTGAAATTAAATCCAGGATTGCCATGGCAAAAGCTGCATTTAGCAAGAAGAAGAATCTTTTTACCAGCAAATTGGACTTAAATTTGAGGAAGAAACTAGTGAAATGCTACATTTGGAGCATAGCTCTGTATGGGGCTGAAACATGGACACTTAGGGCAGTAGATCAGAAACATCTGGAAAATTTCGAAATGTGGTGTTGGAGAAGGATGGAGAAGATCAGTTGGACCGATTATGTGAGAAATGAAGAAGTGTTAATTAGAGTCAGTGAGCAGAGGAATATCCTACACGAAATAAGAAAACGGAAGGCTAATTGGATTGGTCATGTTTCACGCAGAAACTGCCTTCTAAAAGAAGTTATTGAAGGAAAGATAGAGGGGCGGATAGAAGTGACAAGAAGACGAGGAAGAAGACGTAAGAAGATGCTGGATGACCTTGGGGACAGAAGAGGATACTGTCATTTGAAGGAGAAAGCTCTAGATCGCATTAAGTGAAGGAATTGGTTTGGAAGAGACTGTGGACCTGTCGTCTGACAGATTACTGATGATGATGATGATGTTATCGAATCATAAAGGTATACGGAGGCCGACGTTTAATTCCATCTGCCATGAAAACACGCAAGAATATTAAAATCGTAGATAATCTCAATTATAAAGCATAGTGCGTTGCACATATTGACACCAAAATATTATCAATATTCGCAGGATAGACACGATACATTGATAAATAACTGCTTGTTCGTAATGATAACCTACGTTCATGAAACGTCTCAGCACCTGACAATTCGTTGCTATCGTAACTCAAAATCGCATAGTTTCAGAGCTTTCGTATTACCATTACATTACTTGTTATTTTGACAAAGATTTGCATAACCAAAAGTAACCTCTATAATCGGAGCCTATAAGACTCCATACGTTTAAACTGAAGGCTACGGCGAGACCTTACGTGTAAACTAAACAACAGAATAATGAACTGCGGTAATTCCATTTCATCTTACTTGTAAATAACAAAATCATGTCATTAATTTGTATTTTTAATCGTTATGCACCAAAGATGCGTACCGGTATGGGTGGGCACGTGTGTAGGCCTAGTTATGTATGAATATGTACTTAAAAGTATGATAGTTGAACAGAATATCAAGGCATTTCCCACAATTTTATGAAATCCAAAGTAACATTACCGTGACCACAAAGTCCATCAGTGGGTACCGCTGATTATTGTCCTGAGACAGATAAATTTAACAAACACCAACCTAATAATTGGCAACACTCCAGAGGCGGTTCACGGATATGACGTTTCTAAGTGACATCAAATGCCATCTCTACGTCAGAATCTATAGTGTGCTGCAGAATCGATGGTATGGCACGATAAGATATATCGATACAGCGACATCTATACTTGATAATTGGTACTACCCCCCCCCCCCCCACAGNCCCAGACGCATTTGGTGTTAGGCGGTGCATGAGTTGTGGTGTAAAATATTCTCTCAAACGTATTACTTTGGTTTTTCTGGCAATAAAAATGCCTTCAGACGAAGAATTTGACTATATGTCTGACAATTTTTTGGCAGAATGGTATGTGCTTCACGAGATGAACAGTGATATTTAAGCTCATATATATATATGTGACAATATTTTTGTGAATAATGTAGTTAAAATGATTTCTAAATGGGATATTAAATATTCACACATTTTTGACATACTCTCACACCTTTACATACGAATTTGTATCAAAGAAAAGGATTTCAGCAATTATTTAACCTCAGGTTACTGTGGAAGCCGGGATAGTGAGTGGTTATAGCGATCGGTTGGAGGGCCGGAGTTCAATTCCCGGCAGGGATAAGAGATTTTTCTACTCCACAGTGCCTACACCGGCTCTTCGGCCCAACCAGCCTCCTATCCAAACGGTAGTGGGGGCCCTTTCCCCGGGGGAATAGCGGCCAGGGCGTGAAGCTGGCCACTCCCCTCCAGCCAGTGCTAAGATGAAGAAACTGTGGATATATATATATACATACATACATAGCATTCCATAGATCCATGAGTTAGTCAGATGACCTACCGGATGTGGAATTTGTCAAAAATCATACAATANATATCTTGTAAAAGGTTACTGTCATCTAGGTAGTGATGCCATATAGTTTGGTGTATGTATAGGTTATGGTTACCCATGCAATCCAGTATCTGAAGTGACATTTCCCCCAACATAATACTAACATTATACCGTCACTGTTTGTTATTTACCATGATGCTCTTGTTAGAGTCAGTAACTAAATATACCCAACCATATTAAATATAATCTTGTATATTCCTGTTAGTTAGCAACTTGTTTTTTAAAAGTTTTAAATGTTAAAATCTCTCCTACATCACTGGTGTATGCACACTAACATGTTTTGACCAACATTGGTTATCTTCAGGTGTCTCTAAAATTGTTGATGAAACTGCTGTGCTTCTGGTCGTAAGTTGAATTTTTGGGATATGCCCTCATCTGTGCACCCATATAGCTGTAACCTGTATTAGTATTTTATATACTAATACAGGACAGATAACAAGCAGGAACAAATAAGCGATGTACAACACAATGCTGTGATATAATAATTAATTTGATATATGTTATAGTGTAAAGGAAGATATTCGTCCTGGACTTATTCACAATCGATCTCAGCAGAGGACACATAATATTGAAAGAAAGAAGAAAGTCACAGATGAAGAGAACAAGCAGCAGAATAGACCACATAGGTTACTGGAAGCAGAGAGACGGGAGGAGGGCCTCAGTGAGGCCATTACTGACAGTAATCGAGGATTTGCACTCCTCCAGAAGATGGGGTACAAACCAGGCATGGCTATAGGCAAATCAGGTGAGGTGAAAATTCTGAGCATTGCCACAATTCTATAAATTCAGCTTCCACCACTCATCAAACATTTAACTCCATAGGAGGGGAGTGGTAGGGTGAGCTGAAGCAACAGACCTGATCTCTGATCTGTTCACCATACAACAATTTTATAAATGTCTCATATCACTTCCCCCTCTGGGAAGTAAGTGACCTTTAATTCCAGTACAACTAATAACATGTTAATCATTTCAATATGATGTCTGAGTGTGCTCACCCATCAAACCCAGGACTAAACATGAATGACTGTAAAATGTAGGGAATTTTTTTCAGTTTAGGTTTCTCACATCACTGACTATGAAAAGTGCTATCTCCTTGGATGTGATATTATGTAGGCCAGTAGTAGCTCCCCTACGTTTTGGAGGAATGTCAGTGAAACTTTGCCTGACTCTTCTGCATCTTCATGGAAGATCTGTTTTATCTAACCTCAAGATGTATCTAAACAAACTTCATGCAACTGAACCCTTCTCGAGAAACTGCCAGTCGTGCAGCTACTCAAGAACTTCCCAACATTTTATGGAACCTGAAGGTTCATTACCATGTTTGCAAGAGCCCTCCACTGGTCCCTATCCAGAGCTAGATCACATCAAGTCCATACCACTCGCTCCTACCTCTCTAAGGTCCATTTTAACATTATCCACCCACCTATGCCTTGATCTTCCTAGTGTTCTCTTTCCTTCTGGCTTTCCCACCAATACCCTATATGCATTCCCTGTCCATATCAGCCTCCTTGACTTGATCATTCTAATTATACTTGGCAAAGAGTACCAAGTTATGAAACTCCTCATTATGCAGTTTTCTCAATCCTCCTGTCAGTTCATCTCTCTTTGTTGCAATTATTCTCCAGTCACTGATATGTTAGTAAATGTAAAAGTGAAAGTAGATTCTAAAGGATTCTGATGATGGAGTATAACACTCAGAAGTACAGGGTTCTTGGACTTTCCATCGTCTGGTATTCTAGAAAATAGAAAGCACGATGTTTCGGAAACTGGATCTATTTCCAGTGATAGAGGTTAGCTCTTTCTAAGGCACCCAACTGAGTATATGTCTTCCCTCCTCCCCACTTGAGGACAGAAACAGATCCACTTTCCGAAATGTCGTGTTTTCTATTTTCCAGAATACTGGACGATGTAAGAAGTCCAAAAAAACAGTAATTCTGAGTAAAAGTGAAAGCTGAGCTGTTTGTTATATGACCGTAAAATGAGAGAAAGTTGAACACAATTAAAAAACAGAACTTTTAAAATACTTTTTTGTTCTTACCACATAGTCAGAACTTTGCCACTAATTTTCTGTGAGCATGTACTCTTTTCACTAACCAAGGAAGTCTGTCTGTGTGCTTTTCATCTTAAAGTTTCTGAAAGGATTTGAAATTTGGTAAGAAGGGGTCTGCACCAAACATTCTCGGGCACATTTAATTTTAGTTCACATTAATCCAGTATAATACAGGTATATGCACACAAATGCTTGTAGCACAAATAATTTTTTTCTCAGAAATGGCGCCCATCTTATAGGAAAGTGGTACATGACATTAAACATACACATCTACTTGAAGCTTCTTTGGACATAGGTAAAGGTAAAAAAGTAAAGCTATCCCTGTAAGAGGACATGGAGGCCAATAGGGTTTGTGAGATGTCAAGGCTCCCACATTTTGTAGACAGTCAGCACATAGATGGCAGTAAGGTTGTCAATCTTAAGTGCTAGCTGCCCTTCACCCTTTGGAAAATTCCTGGTACTCATTTCTGTTACAGGCTAAGTTGACCTCACTTCTTCAGACATAGTAAATATTTTACGGAGTAATACAGAAAGTGGGAGCCTGGACAGCATAGTCGATATAGCAACTGGCTGTGGACTGAACGACCGAGGGGTCAGAGTTCGAGTCCCAGTAGGGTCAAGAATTTTCTCTTCTCCATGTCATCCAGACCAGCTCAGGGTTCCACCTAACCTCCTATCCATTGAGTGATCATTCATCCCCAGCTAGTGCCAAGGTCAAGAAAATATAGTTTTATACAGTATATCCAGTCCCACAGATGCCTTAATGGCATAATGCTTAATTAGTTAAGCACAGGGAGAACTGTACCTTTTACAACAGAAAGTAATTTCTGTTTCTTTTCAGTGTGATTTCTGTAGTGCAATTAGCTTTGCAGCAATGGACTTGCATCTACAATATGTGAACATTGAGGTCTGTGGGCTGTGTAAAATAACACAGAATTCATTTTTAAAATATGTGAATCCCAAAAGAGTATATATTTCTGCTCTTATTATTGACAGTCCACTGTGTGAATATTCAATTTTAGGTACGGGTTGTGTAGAACCTGTTCCTATTGCACTTAAGTCAGATCGCAGTGGGCTTGGAAGAGAAGCAGCACTCAAGGAAATTGCAGCTGAGAAGCTTGCAATAAGGCACAGGTTAGCCCGTCAACGAGAGAAGGCATCAGATACTCATGACTACAGGGCTCGCTTGGCAAGGAAGGCTGCAGAGAGACAAATTGAAGGAGACTTGAGGAAAAGTCAGAGAGTTTGTGAACAATTGGACACTTCCAAGGTGAATAAATCACGGACTGCATAAATGTAACAGACATACCCATTACTTAATTATGGAATAACTGACTGATGGGACCTCCGCAGAAATAGTTAGTTCTGCGACCTCAAACAATAATCAGATGCAGTTCTTTTCCTGTTATTTCTGCTTAGCAGTCCCAGCATAAACACAGTCAATTTTATTAACCATATAACCTCACCTGTCATTAAATTTTAAGCTCATTATAAGTCATTATATCAACCAGACTGTTATTACTGAATGCATATTACCGTATTTACGCATGTATAGGCGGCACATTTTTTGCCAAAAATTCAAGAGGAAAACTGGGGTGCGGCTTATATTCGAAATATTCGAAATCACACACATTTTTTCGTCAACGTCGAATTTTCTCCCTGCTGCTCGATTTCCGTGTTCTTGTGCGTAACGCACCACTTGAAGTTTAAATTTAGACATATAACCTGCTCTTACTCGACCCATGTTTCACTCNTTACTGCAGCTGTTCGTATTGTCATCATCATTCACCCCTTCTTTACTTAACTACAAAATATAAAAAATAAATGAATTAGTTTTGTTCCCCCCCCACTTAACATGGGCTAACCTTCAGAACAGTGACAGTGCATGTATGATGATGTTGCTCTGTAGCAACTGCTACAGTTAAGTTTTTATTGTATTACATCAGTGTGGTAGCTAGGTTTTAGTATGGTAGAAGTTCACTAATTAATCACTAGTTATTATGTAACATTGGCACTTTTGGTCAGATTTCAGTATGGTAAAACAAATTTCAGCAATTGTATTTGTTGCTGTAGTTTTGTGGGAAAATGACAAAAATGCACCTGCCTGTGTTACCTGAAGGCTTATTTATAGTTTGGAACCACAAACAAAATATAGAAGTTATATTTATATCTAAATGCATCTCTTGTAAAATGAATAATCTTACGTTGGCTTTAACAAATTAACTCTAAGGAGCAAAGTCTTTCTGCAGATGCCAGTTGTTGCTTAGCCAATCAGGAAATTCCCAGCATTTTATGGAAAAGGATCGCAGGAGCCGATCACTGACACCTGAGCTAAGTAAATCCAGCCTAGACTCAGCCTTCCCGTTTAAGATCCATTTTAATATTGCGCACGCGGTAGCGTAGTTGGTTGAAGCATTATGCTACAAGCCAGAAGGTTGTGGGTTCAAGTCCCAATGAGGTAACTGGATTCTTTTCAATTGACCTAATCCTTCCAGTCACACTATGACCCTGGGGTTGACTCAGCCTCTAACAGAAATGAGTACCAGGAATATTCTTGGGGGTAAAGGGTGGCTGGCTTGTAGAGCTGACAACCTTGCCACCATCTACGAGCCTATTGTCTAGGAAATTTGGGAACCTCACCATCTCACAACCCTGTGGGCCTCCATGGCATGTTACAGGGATCTATGTGTGAGTCTTCCTAATAGCAGTATCTTTCCAGTTTTCCTACCAAAACTGCGTTTGGACTGCTCTTCCATGCTCCATGCCCTACCATTCTCAACCTTGATATATTTGCTTTTCTGATTTGCTGTGTAGGGATTTGATGAACCTGCAGAATCTTGGTTTTGGTCTCCACGAAAACCTCAGGCAGCAGATGACAAGGATGAGGAAGATGAAGCAGAAAATCAGAAGATTGTAAATGAAGACAGAGTTCATAATGATGATCAGGATGAAGACAATATTTCAGAAGCAGAAGAGATAGAGTTTGAGGTATTGTTTGGACATTTTAACGTGTTTCATTATGTATTCCTTCTGTGATACTACCGATAAGTGCTTCAATTTCAGGTTAGTCTAATTGTGCTCACTGCATGTTCTGATATTCAGAATTGCCATTTTCAGGTTCAGATTCACACAGTATACAAAAATTACAGTTACTCTAACACACTTTTCTGTAACCTTTGTATGTATACTATGTGAATTCACTGCAGAATGCTGTAATAAATATCAAATCATTCAATTGGTGTAATTACCCCAGTAATGTATTTTGTTTAGACAGCTGAATAGTTCAGTAATGCCAATTCAACAAGAAACAGAACAGATGTAAATGTAACTAAAACAGTCATTTTGTTCAGGAGAGATTACAATTTTTCTTTAGCTTTGCATAGAATTAATAAGACAATAATCTGGGAATCATTACTACAGACCATGACATTTTGTACAGTGAGGTGTTCTCTTTTACAGCCTCCAGAGAAATTAGAAATTTTAACGCTGTATCTGCGCAGAACACACTTCTATTGCATTTGGTGTGGTGTGCAGTTCGATGATGAGAAGGACCTGCAACATTCGTGTCCAGGACCCTGTCGAGATGATCATTAGAACTGCAATGAATGTAATTTCAAAGCCCTCCCCCCCATCCCAAGTGTAATATTGTTAACACCATGAATGGGATCTTTAGTAACAACTTGGGTCGTGACACTGCATCACCAGCACTGGTTGCAACACACACTTCCATTGTAAAATACACAATTTTATATTTATGATGTATATACTCTTACAAGTGATTAAAGTAAAACACTTTGCATGTGTCATCATACAGTGTAATGGATAATGCTTTCCAGCTTTCATGGTTTAGCCACTTAACCTGTAACGTATGAATGTTGGATATACATGGTGTGTTAAAAAAGTAACGAACCTTTGGTTGGCAGAAATACATTTATTGATTTGGAGGTACAAAACCCTAATCCCCATTCAAAGTAGTATCCTTGGTAATGCACACACTTCTCCCAGCGCTTCCGCCATTGTTGGAAACACTTCTGGAACGTGTCTTTTGGAATGGTGATCAGCCGGGCCGTCGCATTCCGCATGATGTCTTCTCTTGACTCAAATTGGGTTCCTTTCAGCGGCATTTTCGGCTTGGGAAATAGCCAAAAGTGACACAGAGCCATGTCGGGGGAGTAGGGAGCCTGATGAACCACAGGGATGTNGACTGCATCTTGGTTTCTGGGTCGTACCCATAAACCCACAACTCATCGCCTGTGATCACGGTGTTCAGAAAGTTGGGGTTACTGTTTGCATTGTCCAGCATGTCCTGTGCGATTTCCAGATGGCGTTGCTTCTGCTCCATTGTTAGCAGTTTCGGTATGAATTTCATGGACACTCTCCTCATGCCCAAATCCTCGGTCAAAATTGAATGTACCGATCCAATGCTTACCCCTATCTCGTTCGCAAGTTCTCGGACTGTGATATGACGGTCCTCCATGACCAAAGTCCACACTTGCTCAACGACATTCTCATTTCGTCTTGTTGAGGGTCTGCCTGAACGCGGTTCGCTGTCCACTGATGTGCGGCCATCTTTGAAGCGGTTGTACCACTCCTTTATCCGTGAGTTGCTCATGGCATCGTCCCCGAAAGCCTGTTGAATCTTGCGAATGGTTTCCACTTTGGTATCGGCAAGCTTTGGCAAAATTTGATGCAATATCGCTGCTCATGTTGTTCCGTCATTTTACACCTTACTGGAATCCGACGAGCGTTCACTACACGTCCTCACTCATAGGCCGACTGCCAGCGACGGACGCTTTCTGTGGGCAGGAAAAAATTCACGACTGCGCATGAATGTCCCCTCCACATCTCCACCGAAGGAAGCCTCCCGCACTTCATTGCTTTACGCGGGAAAAAAGAAGGGTCGATACTTTTTGAACACACCACGTATCTAACGGCAAGTAACACTGCTGTTACTGAATGTTAGATTTATCTAACACAGTACACGTACACCCTTTGATCTTTGGGTTGAAACCACAACAAACCCACGCAAAGTCAAGTCAGTGGTTCATTCCTTAGCTCTGAACAATGAAATCGTTTATCATGGTACTGATTTTGGTATTATTTACATTTAGATATGACTGTTTATGACCGGTCAGCCAAATAGAGCCAAGCTTTTATCTTTCATCTGTGCTAGCAGATCAGTGCTATTTGAGCTTGCAACGAAGTGGGTTGTTTTCCAAGGATTTGTTTTCAGTAGCGAATTATCAGTCAGAAAGTCAGTGTTGGACTGTCAATTATTTATTTATAGAACATTTTTATTTTGTTTCAGTAGAGGTATAAAGCCAGTGAAAACAACAATGCACATATGAGCTTTGTGGATAAATCTGACAGGATGGTAAATAGTTATGGAATTGCCCGGAGAACATGGAAATTGTTTTTCCACCTTCTAGACATGACTATTCCCAATGCCTATTTATTGCACAAGTCACGTGGTGGAAAATGGCACATAAAGAATTCTGTGAAATCCTAGTGTGAGATTTGATTGTACAATTGCATGAGGTGAATATCACAGTCAGTGGCATTTCTTGGTGTGGACTCAAAGTTCATCTGTGGCCGAAATGAGTCGACTAGAGGTGCAACATTGGCAACACTGGCCACCCAAAAGGAAACCAAGATGTGTGTGTTCACTAAATAAGAAAACCAGGAGCAACCTCCTCTGTTGTAAAATGTGTGATGCTGGTCTGTGTTGAGGACTGCTTCGATCAGTTGCGCATGCATGAGCGGAGTTGTGATGCAGTTTATACTTGCATACAGTCTGAACAAAGGATCATTGTATATAGTGTCACTATTTTTTACAAACTCAACATGTTTGAAGTTTCGAGAAAAAACTATGGGTAAGCCCTTTGGATTTTCATAATATTGTAAAAACTGCTCTTTTGTGTATATGTAGAAAATGTTATTGTTTTTCAGGCTGTTTTTAGTTTATACTTCTATATTGCATAAATCGGAAAATGTGTATTTTTTTCTGAAAGTCTGCAACTTTAAAGACTTAGGGCCATTTAAATTCCAGCTGCAGCAGGCTTTCAACAATTTAAAAGTCTGTACTTTACAGGTTAATATGTTTAAGCGGTTCCCATTGCTAAATGCCTAGCGCTGAAATATGAACTGCAGAAACTAAAAAATAAGGCTGTCAATAAAATGGCATGGTATGGGATAGGAAATAATGATTCAGTTCTTAGGATGCAAATACTTTTCTTCGCCAGTCTCTTGCTTTAAACAGAAAACATTACACACCAAATATA